TGACAGGATAATACACTAGGAAATATACTGTGGGGAATATTATAGTCCTGGCAGGACTAAATGACCTAAAGTCGTCTCAGTCTCCAGTGTTTCTTTGATTAATTAACCCCATTTCTCAGAATCCATGAGTTCAGAGTCCTCTCTGTACTGAAGCTTGTGCAGGGCCAGTGCAGAGGGAGATTTTTTTCCACCTCTGGTGTGCTTTCTTTGCCTTAATATTGTCCTTACTCTTAAAGTTTAGCTTTTGTCTCTACAACATTCATAAACTCGCTCAAGGCGTATGATTGTGCTTCAAGTATGGACTAGACACAGTGCATGGTGCTGGTAAGAACAAAATATGGAGCAAGACCTGGACCTCACCTCAAGCAGCTCTCAGGACTGGAGGGGATATTGTTCACTAGGAGGCCTTGTGGATACACAGAGGAGGAAGTGCTTTGCTTTGCCGACAGTCGCAGAGGAATAGCACATGAGACAAGTCTTAAGGGATTGGTTATTGTTTGAGAAGCAGATGGACCAAGGAAGATTACTAGAGACAGAAGGAAGATGATGTACAAATATGTAGATCATTCTTACCCATTTATTGGAGCTGAGGGCATTCAGTATGTCTAGAATATGAGAGTCAAGTGAAGTGGTGGAAAAGAATGAACATCAAGACCAGCTAAATAAAGAAATGTCACATACAATATGCCAAGGAACTCAGTCTTCTTCCTGTTGGTAGTGGGGGACCATCAGAAATGTTTTAGCAGAGCTAAATTTTTAAAAGATCACTCTGGTATAATAAAAGGATAGAACGCGGAGGAGGATGAAAGATGGGAGAACAGTCAGAAGGCTACTGGAAAAGTTCAGATATAAGCTAACCTAGAGTAGTAAGATCTGGGCCTGTGGATGTGACCACAGTTCTTTCTGGAGACATGTCTCTCTCCTGGCCTTATAATTTGTTTTTTTATTTAAAAGTAAAAACAATTCTCTATTCCCAATGTTCCAACAGGCTTTCTTTGCTCTTCCTGGCCCTGTGTAAGGAGCTCTCCCAGCTTCCCTGTTTTATTTAATTGTAGTTGAATATTTAAGACTATGATACCTCTATCAATCAGCAATTTTGGAATAATCTTAGTTTCCTAGGATTTTAGAGGGCTCAGTCCCAAATTCCAAGATACCTGAAATACCATTGCAAATGCAACAGCAAAAAGAAGTTACATTTTGATGTGTGACAAGGGTTGTGAGTGAGTCTTAAACTGACACGGGTTAAATTTGGAAGGGGTTATAAAAACCCAAGTCAACCTTTGGGTTTAGAACCCACTTCATATCTACTATACATTAATTCATTTTAACTGGCTATACCCATGTTCAAGGTGCACTCCAAGATTCAGTTTCTTCAACTGTGAAAAGCAGAGAAAAATGCCAATCTCAACTTTGAGATCAATCAACATTTAAGAACACACTTTGTAAACTTTAAAGTACTGTCAGATTCAATGGTTTTGGTTATAATTTGTAAAGGTAAGTAACTGATTAGAGACAGAGTCAAGATGAAAACTCTCCTGATATCCATCCTAGCCTAGAATGACAATTTGTCCACTGATTTTTTATTTTTAATATTTTCCTCTATACACTTTACTTAGTTTCAAAAAGAATTGAGCCTGAATGCCTTCTTTTCTTATAGCAAACTAAGTCATGTTTGTGGGTGTATAAAACATTATACTGTCTCCCTAATTCTGATACCCCAATATGGTATTTAGAATAATTCAGTCAAGCCATGGACTGCAATTTAATTTAGAAGAATTTACAAAGAAAAAAAGGACTTGACAACTTGCTTCTTTAAAGTGACTAATAGACTTCTCAACAAAATAACCAATGGAGTTCTTAAATTAAAAAAAAAAAAAAACAGTAAAACAGAAAAACAGTTTTGATGCCGAAGCTCCATCACAAGCTTCTTGAATCAGGATGTCCTGTATTTCCCTTAATGATTGACCCCCAAGACATGAAATTAGCTAACTTGATAGCAGTGATTCTGGTATGTGCTTAGGTGGAGAGTTGGCCCCTACAACCTCTGACAGGTAGGTTCATAGAGTACAATAGATCTGCAGGGCACACAGATCCCCCTGCCCTATGTTTCGCCTCACAGCCGCTCTTCCATGCACTGCTGGAAATGCGCAGCATGCAGACCCATTCAGACCTGCAGTCATCACCCATGTTATACTGCACTATGTTAGAGTAAAAAAATGAATGAACACAATTGCTGCTTATAAGGCATTCTAAGAGTATGCATGGCAGGTAAAGAAGAAAACCTAATGTGAGTATAATAGTTGCATATGCCAAAGTCCATATTAAAGGAGACTTTTTTTTTTTTTTCATTGGAGGGGAGCAGGAAGAAAAGACTTTACAGGGGAGGAAAGTTATGGACAGAATTTAAAGAATGAGTGAGAAATGTCCAAGAGGAAGAAAGTGGGTCAAGCTAGTGGAAATGGGCAGCAGGTAGTGGGTGGGGGATGAGAGAAGGAAGGAAGATATTCTGGGAAGAGGAGGGAGTGCATACAAGGGTCATGAAACTTCCTTGAACACACGAGACCTTCAGGGTGATGGGAGTAATAATGGGTCACACCTGTCCTGTGAGGATGGAGTGGCCTCAGTGGATGTGGATGGAGAAGCCAGCAGGGGCCAGTCCAAAGGGCCTTGGGTGCAATGCTATGGAGCTCTGCTGCGCTATTCCCAGTACACAGCATGGTTCTCCATTCTCATTTTCCTAATGATATTTTAAAAAAAATACACATCTAAACTCAAGTGAAGAAATATTCCCAACAACATTTCTGAGCCAGAAGAGACGTTCTGACAAAAGTGCTTCTATCACATTCTCTTCTGTTGTCCTCTTGTAAGAAGAGTCATGTATGTTCTCTGGAACATTCTTTTCCTGTCTTCCAAAGCAGAAACTCTGTCGTTTCCTATGCTGTCTTTCAAAGAGGACAGCACTAAAAGCTGTTATCCTAATGCTTTTGTCCTTCATCCCTCTCAGGCCAACGCACACATCCTCTGGGATCCTCACCTGGCTCTCATTTCTTATGGGTGGCAACATCATTGTTCTAAGACCTGTTAATACTGAAATAAGCTCAGAGTCAGTTACAGGGCAGGGAATAACAATCTAGAGAGAGTTCTTGTAACAAATGGGTAGGAAATTCAGGGCTAGTCAAACCACATAGCATGCAGGACTGAGCTCCAGTTTCAGAGAAAATTAGTAATCTTACTAGAGATATGACACCATCAATCCAAATCCTATGATCTTTGCACCTGCTATAAGATCTAGGGAGAAGCAAGACTTCTTTTTCCACCTGGAATTGGCCCTGAAGCCTGAGTGGACATGAATAGAGACCAGACTTAGGACTGTGAAACTGAGTCTAGGTCACTGTCTTACCTGGCAGCTGCTCTGGTCTGCATTGGCTAATGGCCTGGGAAGCCAGATGCTTTAAACCAGGGGTCCCCAACCCCTGGGCCATCGACTAGCACTGGTCTGGTCCATGGCCTGTTAAAAAGCAGGCCACAGAGCAGGAGATGAGCAGCAAGTGAGCGAGCATTACCACGTGAGCTCTGCCTCCTGTCAGATCAGCAGCAGCACTGGAGTCTCATAGAAGTACGAGCCCCATTGTGAATTTTGTGTGTGAGGGATCTAGGTTGAACACTCCTTGTGAGAATGTAATGCCTGATGATCTGAGGTGGAACAACTGAATCCCAAAACCATTCCCTCCACTCTACCGTCTGTGGAAAAATTTGTCTTCCATGAAACCAGTCTCTGGTGCCAAAAAGGTTGGGGACTGTTTTTTAGACTGATGCATAGGGATTGGGTGGCCGGGCAGAGACTGAACCCACAGAGCATGGGCACAATGAACCTTGACTGTTACTGTGTCACAGATTTACACAAAAGCTTGCTCACAAAAGCATCCAGGTCACAGAAACACATTCTCCGAATCTCAAAAGGGATAGTTCCCATATTCCAGAAGGTAGAAAGGAGTGGAAGAGGATAAAGTGTTACTTAGAGTAAGAGTTGGGACTCTAAAGTCTGGGTGATCTGGTTCAAATGATTCTATGATCAAAGTTAATTTCTAAATCCTACATAGAGTAGTCAGATAACTGTGTTTTTTTTTAAATGTGGCAGTTGACCACCAATGTAAATCTAAGGAAAGAATTATGGGACAGCATAATATAATATTTTGTGTGCCAGTAAATAGGTGACCGTTGTTTGAGAGGTAATTGACTGAGGAACTGCCTTATAGTTTAATCTCCCCACAGAAATGACCTAAGTACTTGGACCCAGCAGAATTTGAAGAAGTCTTTATGCATTAGATAATTTAGGAGATATTTTTAACTTTTACTCATTTACTTTTAAAATCGGGGATATTTAAAGTTAATAGGTTGCCAGAATTGGGCGAGTTGGCTCACATCAGTAAACAGGGATTTATAGCGTCCACTACCAGTTTCTAGCATGGTCTTGGTATTGTCTGCAAAACATTGTAAGACATTCCTTCCTACTGCAGGGAATGGGGTAAAAATGTGTGTAGGAGAGATTAAAGAGATCCATCAACTCTGGCAAAATGTTCATATTTAGAAAGTCATGAAAACTTAAGAAGTTGGTCAGAATCACCAGATTGATGAAAAATGCACATTACCAGGAGTTATTGAAGGAATGCACTGTGCTTTTAAGATTAATTGGAGCCAAGAGGAAATCCAAGCACCCAGGTGATGAGTAATATAGTTCTGGTTTTGGTGAATTCAGTTTGTGGACTGGGAGGAGATGAGACATCTCCAATCTTTGTGATATACTTAGAGAAAAGCAAAATCCCAACTCTTGCTCCAAGTACCATTTCATCCCCTTCCCCTCTTCTTCTACTTTCCAGAATATGGAGACTATGAATCACCTTCAAAGTGTTTAAAGGTGATTCCAGAATTTTAAAACAAAAACAGAACATTTACAGCAATAGAGATTTTCCTAAAGGATGCTGCTTTGGGGGAGGAAATGGGGGAAGCACAAAGTTCGTCGTTCATGCTTTACACCTGTTGAGTCTGAGGTGGTAGTAAGTACAACAAGCAAATATTTCAAGTCCTGGTGAGTAGTTTGTGTTTTCAGCCAGAAATATGGGATAAGGACACAGGAAGAAGGTAAGGCAGAAAGATGGATAAGAGGTGTCAGTTAAAGCCATAATAAGAATGAGGTCTTCCAGAGGAATTAAAGAAAGGACACATTATAAAAGCCTGAGAACTGGGGAACACCCACCTATAGGACAGGAGGAAAAATGTGTAGTTGCAAATAGAATGGCGAGGTCTTATTCACAAAGGTAAAAGGACCAAGAGAGCTTTCTATCATATCAGAGAAGTCAAGATAAAGAGAAAGTGAAGGAGGCGGGTGGCCAGCTGGGATACACTGCAGAATAGTAAGGAGGCCTGCAGGCCAAGAAAAGACACATTTGCACCAGGCTGTTTCCTTTCCGTGCCAAGATTCTTTAATGCCATTGTGACTTTCAAAAAGGCAGGTCAGTTGACAGGTGACATCGACACCAAAGAAATATCAGGAGGATCGGTTAAAAGGAAATAGAAGCACAGTTGTAGAACATTCATCTGGAAGTTTGGCTGTGAAGAGAAGGTGACAGGTAAAAATGGTGAGTAGGATCATTTAAAAATCATTTCAGGATGAGAAAAAATACCTTATCTGAAAGCAATTCAGTTGAGGGGAAAAATCTGGAGATACTAAAATGGAAAGGTATAGTGAAAAAGACACACAAAAAATCCCTGACGAGGCAGAGAGAAGACTTGGTACGACTGGGAAACTGACCCCCTCTGAGGTCAGTGACCAGAAGAGATAAGTGGCTGTAAATGACAATCATGTCATCTTACCTTTGAAAATACTTCTTAGAAAACTATAAATGTAGTATACATGTAGTTCTTTACCTAAGTATTTTTTTCTTAGGTCATTAAGTCTTCACCGTCACTGTGTAAGAAAGGCATTATCACATTGATCTTACATTATATAAAGGAAGTCTCAGAGCAGGTTAGGAAATAATTCAAGATCCCATACACCGGGTACTCCTGAGTTAGGACAAGATCTCAGATCTCCTAAGCCTAAAACTTAAGGCATGGCACTTCGGGAGGTCGAGGTGGGTGAATCTCCTGAGGTCAGGAGCTGGAGACCAGCCTGACAAACATGGTGAAACTTTGTCTCTACTAAAACATACCAAAAAATAAGCCACGCACTGTGGCAACTGGCTGTAATCCCAGCTACATGGGAGGCTGAGACAGGAGAATCATTTGAACCCAGGAGGCAGAGGTTGCAGTGAGCCAAGATTGTGCCACTGCACTCCAGCCTGGGCAACAAGAGCAAAACTTCCTCTCAGACAAACAAACGAACAAACAAACTTAAGGCATGGGCCAAGACAAAACTGCTCATCACATTTGTCTACACCAGTGTTGGAATAGGACCAAAGAAGATGACAGCAATGCTGTGTCTTGTAGTCTCAAAGTATCATATAAAGCGAGTGTGTATGTGTCTGTGAGAGACAGTCAGCAGACAGAGAGAGTTCTGGGAGATGGTATGAGTTGAATTGTAGTCTTCCAAAAGATATGTTCAAAAGCCCTGATTCCTGCTCTCTGTGAAAGTGTGTTTATTTGAAAACAGGGTCTTGGCAGATGTAATTGAGATGTTATTTAAGATGTTAGTTTAGATGAGGTCATACTGGAGTAAAAGCAGGCCCTTGATCTAATGTAACTGATGTCCTTGGAAGAGAAGAAACAAAGACAAACACAGAAAGAAGACAGTCATGTGACGATGGAGGGAGAGATTGGAGTGACAGATCTGTAAGCCCAGCAATGCCAGGGATTCCCAGTAAACATCAAAGGGCAAGGAAGGATTCTACCCTACAGTTTCCAGAAGGAGCATGGCCCTGCTGACACCTTAGGCCATTAAATAAGGTGAATATATTCGGCTATTAAACACATATTGTGTTTAAAATAGTTGAGGCTGTTTAACACGGAGTGCTGGGAGATGGTATAGCTTGACTTATGGCCTCCAGAACTATAAGGTAACACATTTTTGTTTTTCTAAGCCACCTAGTTTGTGATATTTGTTATGGCAGCTCTAGAGCAGAACTTCTCTAGAGCAGAAGTGGTCTGTGCCCTGTTAGGAATCAGGCCACGCAGCAGGAGGTGAGCAGTGGGCCAGTAAGCATGACCACCTGAGCTCCACCTGCTGTCAGATCAGCAGCAGCATTAGATTCTCACAGGAGCGCAAACCCTACTGTGACCTGCAAATGCAAAGGATCAAGCTTGCACGTTTCTCAGGAGAATCTACTGCCTCATGCCTGATGATCTGAGGTAGAACAGTTTCATTTAGAAATCACTCCCCTGAACCCCAACCATGGTTCCTGGAAAACTGTCAAATTGTTTTCCACAAAATGGGTCCTGGTGCCAAAATGTTGGGGACCGCTGCTCTACAGAACTAATATCACCTAGATGGATTTGGTGAAAACTTGTCCGGAAAACAGAGGTGTGAATGACCAAAGTGGATGGTGATTATGGGAGTTTGCAAAGGGGGAAAGGCATTTCTGGAATAAATACTTGCTGGCCAGTAGTACCACCTCATGGCTAAGCACAGTAATTTTGGAACCAGACACCAATGGGTTCAAATTGTTATTCTGCCTCTGAGAATGTTATGTAATATTTCTCAGGCTTTGTTTACTTACTTGCAGAATTGATATAATAATTCCCACACCATGGTGTTATTATGAGAATTAAATAGCATGAAACATGTAAAGTGCTCACCACAGTGCCTTTTAGTGCTCAATAAAATGAGGCAAGTTTCTAGTAGTTATAATTGTTCCAGTTGTTGTTTATACCTTTCCCATTATATGCCTTTTTCAAACAGCATTTTTGTTGGGAAGTCTTTCCAGATGAAATACTTCCAAAGTATAGCCAGCATATTTGTCCACAGGGAGTAGAAAAAGAAAGTGATGAGGACAAAATCTAACACTGAAGGATATTTGTGTGTATGGAAAGGGCACCGTGATGGTGAGGTTGGCAGTGATGCGAACAGCAGTGGCGGTAGTACGAGCAGTATGTTGGTAGCAGTAATAGAAGGAGATATGTAAAGTTAAGGAGAAAAATGGACAGTGGTTCTAGTAAGTGATTACTATATTCCAGACATTTCTCATATGCTTTGCATGTATTAATAAGAAAACCCATCGTCTCAGCCCAAAATCTCCTTAAGCTGATAAGCAACTTCAGCAAAGTCTCAGGATACAAAATCAATGTGCAAAAATCACAAGCATTCCTATACACCAACAACAGACAAATAGCCAAATCATGAGTGAACTGTTAGTCACAATTGCTACAAAGAGAATAAAATACTTAGGAATACAACTTATGAGGGATGTGAAGGACCTCTTCAAAGAGAAATACAAACCACTGCTCGAGGAAATAAGAGAGGTCACAAACAGATGGAAACACATTCATTGCTCATGGATAGGAAGAATCAATATTGTGAAAATGGCCATACTGCCCAAAGTCATTTACAGATTCAATGCTATCCCCATCAATCTGCCATTGACTTTCTTCACAGAATTAGAAAAAACTACTTTAAATTTTATATGGAACCAAAAAAGAGCCCATATAGCTGAGACAATCCTAAGCAAAAAGAACAAAGCTGGAGGCATCACACTACCTGACTTCAAACTATGCTACAAGTCTACAGTAACCCAAATGGCATGGTACTGGTACCGAAACAGAGATATAGACCAAGGGAACAGAACAGAGGCTTCAGAAATAATGCCACACATCTACAACCATCTGATCTTTGACAAACCTGACAAAAACAAGCAATGGGGAAAGGATTCCCTGTTTAATAAATGGTGTTGGGAAAACTGGCTAGCCATATGCAGAAAACTGAAACTGGACCCCTTCCTTACACCTTACCAAAAATTAACTCAAGATGAATTAAAGGCTTAAATGTAAGATCTAAAACCATAAAAATCTTAGAAGAAAACCTAGACAATAACATTCAGGACATAGGCATGGGTGAGACTTCATGTCTAAAACACTGAAAGCAACGGCAACGAAAGCCAAAATTGACAAATGGGATCTAATTAAACTTAAGATCTTCTGCATACCAAAAGAAACAGCCATCCAAGTGAATAGGCAACCTACAGAATGGGAGAAATTTTTTGCAATCTATTCATCTGACAAAGGGATAATATTCAGAATCTACAAGGAACATAAAGAAATTTACGAGAAACAACCCATCAAAAGTGGGTGAAGGATATGAACAGATACTTCTCAAAAGAAGACATTTAGGCAGCCAAGAAACATATTTAGAAAAGCTCATCACCACTGGTCATTAGAGAAATGCAAATTGAAACCACAATGAGATACCACCTCATGCCAGTTAGAATGGTGATAATTAAAGTCAGGAAACAACAGATGCTGAAGAGGATTTGGAGAAATAGGAATGCTTTTACACTGTTGGTGGGAGTGTAAATTAGTTCAACCATTATGGAAGACAGTGTGGTGATTCCTCAAGGATCTAGAACCAGAAATACCATTTGACCCAGCAGTCCCATTACTGGGTTTATACCCAAAGGATTATAGATCATTCTACCATAAAGACACATGCATACGTATGTTTATTGCAGTGATGTTCACAATAGCAAAGACTTGGAACCAACCCAAATGCCCATCAATGTTAGACTGGATAAAGAAAATGTGGCACATAAAACCATGAAATACCATGCAGCCATAAAAAAGGATGAGTTCATGTCCTTTTCAGGGACATGGATGAAGCTGGAAACCATCATTCTCAGCAAACTAACACAGAAACAGAAAACCAAACACCACATGTTCTCACCCATAAGTGGGAACTGAACAAAGAGAACACATGGACACAGGGAGGGAAACATCTCACATTGGGGCCTGTCAGGGGGTGGAGGGCTAGGGGATGGATAGCATTAGGAGAAATATGTAATGTAGATGACAGGTTGATGGGTGCAGTGAAACACCATGGCACATGTATACCTATGTAACAAACCTTCATGGTCTGCACATGTATTCCAGAACTTATTGTATAATTAAAAAATAAAATAACAACAAAAAATGTTAAATATCTTAAAGTGAATAACATTGAATTTGAAATCTAAGGGTAAGAATAAATTCATTTGATATGAAGAACAACATTTTGGTCTCCGTGAAAAAACTGAAAGTAATTCCATGTAACAGAGATGGAATGGAATACAAGACCAAGCTTCAAAAAGATCACAGATAAAAAATATAATTGTTTAAAATAAAGCATTCACAATGATTCATTTGTGTGACAGAATGGTATATTATGTTGATGAATTTTTGCCTTTTTATGTGATGGCCATAAATGTCAATGGACAGTATAAACAGGTCAATAATGTCATCAGCATTAATGACAATAGTAATTGTTGTTATTTATTGAGCATTTACTGTTTTCCTGTGGTATTGACAGTATTATGAGCTTTATTTTGTGTAATTCTTAAACCAATCTTCTGAGGGAGTGTTTCAGACACCTCTAAGGGGCTGCTTCAGATCTGCTCAGCTTCACTTATCTCTGGAACCCCTGACTATTTGTTCCATCCCAGTTGCCTCTGCAGTAACTGAGTAGGCATGTTATCCAACCAACATCACATGGGCACAACCCAATCCACCTTACTTCACACCTGTGCTGGTCACCTTTCAGTTCCAGTCTCAGGATTTCCTAACATCCCCTGAGAGATACAGTACCATAGGACCTGTTCAGTGTCCATGTGTGCACAGCCCTGAAGTACAGGGATTTACTGCCAATTGGGATGAGCTTATGACCAATGGAAAATGGAATTTAGTGAATATAATGGCCTCCTTTTTTTCCCCTGGACTAATTTTCCTGTGATGCAATAGCTTCATAATACTTCTTAGTGGAGAATCTCCTTAGTTAGAGTAATGGGCTGTTCTCGAGCACATGTGATGGCCACCACAATGACTCATCTCTGTTATCCCATTCTTCTCTGTTCCATTAACCTCTTCTCAAATTCCTGCTTCTCTAATATTTCTCTTCCAAATAAATTAGTAAAGCACCAGCATTTGCCTTTTAAAATAACCCAGGCTAAGATAATGGCACAAGAACTAGGCTGTTTATAATGTCTGTTCTGCAGTGGCATCACCATCTCTGTGACCTTCACCTGTGCATAATTGGGATGGGATATGTGGTGGTTGTGGTGACGGAAGGGAATGGGTACGGTGACAAGTATAGCAATTGTGGAGCAGGATGATGCTCTGTGGTTAGTAGGTCTATGCAAACCTACCCCTAAACGTCCAAGAAAGCTGAGAAGCCAAAGAAAGATGCTGACATATGCAGTTTCTCAGAAAAAAAGAGAGAAATCTAGCAGTGACCTACAACAGAAACCATGTCTGTGTCTTGGGCAATGGCAAGACAAGATGGTGGACCCCCACATCATTACCCCATCAGACCCAGTTAAACTGTAGGGAAAGGGATGTGTAGAATAATTACTGAAGAACAGGATTTAAGTAAGTATAATAACATCAGGGTTGTTTTGACCTAAGGGCAGGAATTATGGTAAGTACATGCTGTTACACAAGGAAGCGTAGGTAATATAAATATCTTGGAGGCACTGCTGGTACTGGGGTTAAACAGAAGTCAACCTGGCAGATTAGCAGCCAGGATGGAATTGCTTTAGTGTCAATAGATGGCTTTTGTTAGCAATGCTAGTAGCCTTGACAATGGAAAATGATAGGCTCAGGTCCACTGCTAGCTTAAGTCATGCAATGAAACTTGGATTGCTTTTATAACAGCTTTTAGTAATACGCTTTTCTTCTGTAGCTATAAAGCACACAGGACTGAAAATCAGGCACAGATTCCATCATAAGGGTAACAGAGCTGCTAATGAACCCAAATGCTCACCTTTAATAAGTTACCTTTAAAAATTAGGGCCTTGAGAGAAAAAGGGTGGGACATAAAACTTGAGATATGGACATTGGATGAACATGTCTGCGAATCTTTAATCTCCAAATTCCCTTGAATTCCTCAGGCCAGTAGATGTAACCCCCTTTCAATTGCTGCAGAACAGTCTGTCAGTGCCTTGAAATTTGCAATATCTTCACCTGAAGAGGGAGCCTTGCAAGACAGTACTTATACACTTCAAGGGTCTTTCCCCTACCCTTCACTGCTTCCACGACAATAATCAGGGTTAGGTCTTAGCACAGACCAATCAGGAAAATACAGTCTTGCTCCAGGAAATATAGACTATATGCAATAATAAAATAAACAGCAGGATCTTGCTAATGTGTTTGAATGAGAAACAGAAGAATCTGTATCACAATGCATCCTAAATAGGTGAGATTGGAATAGGGAGAAGCAAATGTAAGGCTGGACAGTGGAGAATTTATTAACATAGGAGCAATCACCTGAGAATCTGGATTTAATCTTTCATCAAAGACCCTAAGGCAAATTCTGAAAGTCTGCTGGATGCACCATAAAAACAGGCTAAATAAGAAAATTATATATTCATAGAATTGATGTGGAAAAAAATTAACAAAATTCAGTACCCTTTCATTATACCCTTTCATCTCAGAAAATTAGAAATGGAAGATAATTATCTCAACAATAAAAGGCATATACAAAGAAAAGCAGACAAATAATATTATATCTAGTAATCAAAGGCTAAATATATTCTCCTGAAGATTGGGAACAAGGCAAGCATGTCCACTCTCACCATTACTATTCAACACAGGTCTGGAAGCTCCAGCAAGAACAAGACAAAAAAGAAATAAAAGACACATATTAGGAAAAAATTAAATCATCTATATTTGCACATTAGATTGTCTGTGTAAAACATTCCATGAAACCTATCCTACCCAATCCCCCCAAAAAGCTTAAGAACTAATAAATGACATTATTAGGATTGTGGAATCTAAGATGAACGCACAAAAACCAACCACGTTTTTATACTAAAAATGAACATGCTAAAACTAAAATTTAAAATATAATACCATTTATAATTGCTTAAAAGAAAATACAACATCCACATATACCCTTAACAAAACATGTACAAGAATTAAAATTACAAAATGCTGAAGATAGTAACTGAAAATATAAATAAGTGCAGAGACATACTATGTTCATGGATTGGAAAACTCTGAATAGAAAAGATTATATTTCTCCCCAGATTGATCTATAGGTTTAATAAAATTCCTATCAAAATCACAGCAAGATTTTTTCATGAACACAGAAAAGCTTATTCTAAAGTTTATATGAAAAGATACACATTCTAGAGTAGCTAAAACAATTTTGACCAAAGATTATAGTGAGATGAATCACTCTACTTGACATTTGAGATTGCTTTGTAGCTATAGTACTCAAGACATCATGATATTGGCAGGAGAACAGAAGTATATAGATCAATAGAACAGAAGAGAGAATTCAGAACTAGGCTGGGTGTGGTGACTTACACCTGAAATCCCAGCACTTTGGGAGGCCAAGGCAAGTGGACCACTTGAGGTCAGGAGTCCAGGAGCAGCCTGGCCAACATGGGGAAACCCCATCTCTACTAAAAATACAAAAATTAGCTGGGTGTGGGGGTGCATACCTGTAATCCCAGAAACTTGAGAAGCTGAGGCAGGAGAATCGCATGCACCCAGGAGGTAGAAGTTATAGTGAGCTGAGATTGTGCCACTGTGCTCCAACCTGAGTGACAGAACAAGACTCTGTATAAAAAAAAAAGAAAAGGAAATCAGAACCAGACCTTCACAAATATATTCAACCAATTTGGACAAAGGTGCAAAAGCAGTTGAGGGGAGGAAGTCATTTTAACAAATGTTGTAGAAGTAACTGGACATCCATAGGAAAGAAAATGAATCTTGACCTGCAACTTACACCTTATCCAAAAATTGGCTGTGTCTTTAGGCTTGATGCCAAAAGCATGATCCATAAAAGAAGAAATTGATAAATTGGGTTTCATCAATATTAAAAACTTTTTTTTGTAAAAGACTCATAAAGGAGTTGAAAAGACAAGGTAGAAACTGTAAAAAAAAAATTGCAAACCAGATATCTGGGAAAAAACTTTTACTAAGAATATGCTTTAAAAAAACTCTTACAACTTAGTAGTAAAAATTCAAACCATCCACTTAGAAAATGGACAAAATGCAAAAAAATGGGACATTTTAGCAAAAAAAAAAAAAAAAATACAGATGGCAAATAGCACTGAAAAATATGTCCAGCATTATTAGTTATACGAAAAATGAAAAAAGGAAGGAAGGGAAGGGAGGGAAGGGAAGGGAGAAAGGAAGGGAAGGAGGAAGACAAAGGAAAGAAAAACCAATAACGGGAATACCTATCAGAATGACTATCTTTTTTTTTAAGCGGTAACACCAAATACTGATGAGAATGTAAAGAAACTGGATCACTCATTTATGCCTGGTATAAATGTGATGGATGATAAAGAGATAATATATTAGATAGATAGATAGACAGACAGACAGATAAGGTAAATTGTAGATAAACATGCAGTTATAAGAAATGATGCAGAAAGATTCCATGTACCTTTCACCTAGTTCCCTTCAGTGGTAATTTCTTGCAAAACAACAATCATATATTACAATCAGAATATTCACACTGATATAATCCACTGATTTTTATCATATTTCTCCAATTTTGGTTGAACTTATTTGCATGTATATATGTATGGATAAAAGAAAAGTATAAAAAAATCTTCAGAGTAGTTCCTTAAGGCTTCTACACATCAAAGCCCTATACTAAGGAGACAGAGATCCCTTTGCCTATGTAAAAATGGCAAATATTATTGATGTCCTGGAGAACTAAATGTTGCCAGAGAGTAGAAGATAATCTCAATAGAGACTGGAGGCTGATGCACTGGTGAAGTCTGAGGGATGCAGTGTCTACCACATGAAGCATATTGAGAACGAATTCAGAAGAGTCAGGGTAGTGAAAATGTTAGAATTGATTTATTATACAACATTGAAAATTCACCATCTGATTTTTTTTTTTTAGAATTCCCAGAAAACACTCCTTTCACTAAGTCAGTGGTCCTCAAACTTGAACTTTAGAATTTCCAGGAAGAGACCAAAATCTCCAGAAGGGCTTGTTAGACATACGTTTTTGGGTTCCATACTTGAAGTCTCATTTAGTAGACTCTAAAATTTCAGGTGTTAAAATTTGCATTTCTAGAAATATCCTAGGTGCTGTTAATGTTACTGTTCTGGGGTCTACACTTAGAGAGAACTCTGCACCAAGACAGTTAAGAAAGGCATTGGGGATGAGGGAGCATCAGCATTGTTGAGAGGTTCAATGGTGGCTGTCCTCTGTAGGCTAGATTTGACCATGGGAGATCTTAACATGGAAATAATCTCCCTAAGACAAATGGTGATGATGAGAGTCCAGAGTGGCTGAGGCTGGGTGGCAGCACTTAACTATCAGAGACAAGGAGAATATACCTGATATAATTATTATAATGGGTAAGAACACTGTCGGTAATCTGGATGTCTTGACCTGCAGAGATTTGTAGCAATGTCTGAGATCAAGGTGACTTTTGATTAAAGGCAAAGGTCTGCTTTATAAGGAAGGGCCCTGCAATGTCATTGCAAGTAGATGTGGTAAAGATCTCCCTGATTCCTCCCAAAGGGACTTGTGCTAGGATTACTATGTATGAGGACTAGAAAATAACGACTATTTTAGGGCAGTTAGAGAGATGTTCTAGAGTTTCGTTATAAGAAAGCCAGATATTTAATGGAATTGGACTCAAGCACATCTCATACTGGGCCCAATGGATATGTACATCTAGCCTGTGTTTATTTTCCTGTGTCCTGAATGTATGATGGACATAATTTAATAGCCAGCCATATTGATGATTTGATGTGAAGGCTGTCACGGTGAGAATGGCTAAGTAGAAGCCCCTAAAACCTCCTCTCCCTTTCAGCCAAGATCCAAATCAGAAGCGAAATTTGTCTTCTTTGAGGAAACTCTTGAGACCACTACCACCACCAAAGCTGTGTAATTACGGAGGGGTAGTGGTCCTCTTCATTTATCCCATTACTATGTCTAGATCCTCAAAAGCCAGGTGGATTATGGTGGCTACCATAACATAAAAGATGGTAGCCCTATCTGCACCTTCCTGCTGGGTGTGTTGTTTTACAGACAATTAACGTAGCCTCTGGCACTTCATGTAGGATTTTTTTTTTTTTTTTTACAGTCTTGCTTTGTCACCCAGGCTGGAGTGTAGTTGCATGATCATAGCTTACTGCAACCATGGACTCCTGGGTTCAAGAATTCCCCCTGCCTCAGCCTCCTGAATAAGTATGCCTACAAATGCATGCTACCTTGCCCAGGTAATTTCTAAAAAAGTTTTTGTAGAGTTGGGGTCTCACTTTGTTGCCTAGGCTGGTCTCAAACTCCTGGGCTCAAGAGATCCTCCTGCTTCAGTTTCCCAAAGTTCTGAGATTACAAGCGTGAGCCACTGTGCCCAGCCTGTTGTACAAGTTACTTATGGCAAATGATTTCTTGATAATTCTAGCAGGCTGAATAATAATCCACAAATATGTCCATATCATAATCGCAGTCATCTGTAAATTTTAATGTACATGGAAAAAAGGGACTTCGCAGATGTGATAAAGTGCAGAATCTCGAGATGGAAAGATTATCCTGAATTATGCTGGTTGGCCTCATGTAATCATACAGGTCCTTATAAATAGGATTAAGAGGATCAGAGCCAGAAGAAAGCAATGTGGTAACAGGGGCAGAGACTAGAGATGCTCTTTGAAGACAGAGAAAGGGGCTATGAGCTAAGTAACACCAGGGGTCTCTAGAAGTAGAAAGCAGAAGATCTAGAAAAGGCAAAGAAATGAGTTTTTCTCTAAAACTCCAGAAGGGAGCCCTTCTGACACCTTGCTTTTAACCCAGTGAAGATAATTACAGACATGTGGTTTTCAGGAATATGAGAGAATAAATTTGTATTGTTTTAAGAAATCAAATTTGCGGTAATTTTTGCAACAGCCATAGGAAAGGAATATACCATCAGTATTAGCAAAAAGGATTAACAGAGTGCAAATTACTCAGTGCCTGCACCAAGTCTGTGATAAAGTTAAAAATTATATATATAGTCATATATAATTCATAGTCATAAAATTCAAAATTATACATATACATATATATTGTGTATATATGGTATAATAAATATTGTATATATATATAATTGAATATATTACTGTCCCTAAATTGATGACATGATGTTGATTGAACCTAGTGAGTAGGAAATGGCAAATATTATCGATGTCCTGGAGAATTACAGGTTGCCATAAAGTAGAAGATAATCTCAACAGAGACTCACGGGGCGATGCATTGGTGAAGTTCAGAGGGATGCAGTCTCTACCATATGCTGGGACTGTCTAAGGTTAAGGATATGTTGTTAGGCTTTGTACTTTCTACCACTAAGTAAGAGACACAACGCTTAGTGGGCTTCTTGGAATTTTAGAAGGATCATATGCCACATATGAGAATATGGCTCCACCTTGGAAGACTGCAAGGGTCAAGTGCACTCTGATAAAGAGAAGCCTCTGCAACAGGCTCAGAATGCAATGCAGGCTACCCTTCCACTCATACCATATGACCCTGTAAATCTAATGGTGTCAGATGTTACAGTGTTAAAGACTTTGTTTCTTTGACAAGCCCTAATTAGAGAATCACAGTTCACATGCCACCTTTCTGAAGCAAGATGAGGCTTTCTATGGAAGAGAACCACTAGCCATTTGAAAAACAGCAGTAGAACTATTTGGTCATTTCAAATGGAAAGAAAAGTAATCTGAGAAAAGGACACATAGACTTCTGGCCTTTGAGAAATGGCTGAGCTTGTTGCATAGGATTCTGGGTGGAATTAAACTTGAAGATCACAGACAAGCAGATTTGAGGGGGAGATACAGTCACAAACCTGTAGGAATGGTCCCAAAGTGTATAGATATTTTTATTTTTTAAACAATATAATACTTATTAAATTTTGTTACTATTTTATAACATAGATTTATTGACTTTGGGTTGGAAATATTAGTTGTGTGCATTTGTTTAGTTCACTGCAGAAACTTTAGCACCCTGGGCTAAGGATTAAATGCCCACAGTATACCACATTTATTGCAATAGCCAAGAATGCTGCTACACATTTCCACACACACCCAGGAGGGTGCTTGGTTCTCATTCTACTTAAGAATAACTTAATACCATAAAAACTTACCACCTGGTATAATTCTTAAAATATAGTAATTTTATATATTTCCAATTTTAAAAGTTAGATGTATTTAAATTTTCTCAAATATTTTATTAACTTATATGTTTTAATCTTTTTTGGCAGTATAACACACATACTCTACTCTCAGAATTAAGTTTTAAAGAATACAATTCAATAAATTTTTTACCTACATATTATACCCATGTAATCACCATCCAGGTTAAGATGTTGGATATTTTTAGGACTTCAGAAATTTTCAGGACCCTTTTGAATCAACCTTCTCTCAGAGGTTAACTTCTTGTCTAACTTCCATCACCATATATTAGTTTTGTCTGCTTTTGAACCTTATTAAGAAAAGAATCATAGTAAAGCATTCAGATCTCTGTCTTTCTTTAATCCTTTCAAAAAGCATCTACTACCAAGCAGGCTTCAGTCGCCAGGTGAACAGAATGACTCATCCAGTCATGTGAACTAGTC